CCACATGGTCACCTCAACAGATGCCAAAAAAACATTTGACAAAATCTGACACCATATCATGTCAAAAATACTCAACAAATAGGAATAGAAGGGAATTTCCTCAAGATGATAAAGGCCATCTATCAAAAGCATACAGCACACTTAAAGGTGAAAGACTGAAATCTTTCCCCCAAGATTGGGAACAAGACAGGAATATTCACTCTTTGCCACGTTTATTCAACATTGTACTAAAGGTTCTAAGAAAGAGAAATTAGAAAGGAAAAAGAAATAAAAGGATTCCAGACTAGAAAGAAAGAAAAGCATCTATTTTTAAATGACATGATCTTGCATATGTAAAATCCTAAGGAATCTAAAAAAAAAATTTAGAGCTAGTAAGTTCAGCAAAGTTCCAGGATGCAAAATCAATACACATTATCTAACTTGTCTGAGAAAAAAAGAAAACTATATATACACAAATATCAGTTGTATTTCTATATATACTTGCAATGAACAATTCAAACATGAAATTTAGAAAACAATTCCATTTATAATAGTATCAAGAAGAATATGATATTTAGGCATAAATGTAACAAAAGAAGTCTAACATTTATACATTAAAATGACAAAATATTATTGAAATAAATTAAAGAAGACCTAAAAATATGGAAAAGATATCCCAGTTTCATGGATCAGAGGACTTAGTATTGTTAAGATGGCAATTCTTCCCAAATTAATTATAGATTTGATGCAATCCCTATCAAAATTACAGTTGTCCTTTTGGCAGAAATCGATAAGCCAATCCTAAAATTCATATGTAAACACAAAGGACCCAGAATAGCCAAAACAATTTTGCAGAAGAAGAGTAAAGTTGAAGGATTCACACTTCCTGATTGTAAAACTTACTATAAAGCTACAATAATCAAGACTGTATGGTACTAGCATAAGGATAGACATATAGACCAACAGAATAAATGGAGAGGCCAGAAATAAACCCATTCACTTAAGATCAACTGATTTTCAAGAAGGGCGTCAAGACAATTAAATAAGTGAAAGAATATTTTGTTTAAAAACAAATGGTGCTAGGACAACTGGATAGCCACATGCAAAAGCATGATTTTGTAACATGACCTCACATGATATACAAAAAGTATCTCAAAATAAATTGAAGACCTACATGTAAAAGCCAAAATAAAAAGTCGATTTTTCTCTCCTGGAAGAAAACATGAGTAAATCTTTGTGACCTCAGATTAGTTGATAGTTTCTTAGATATGACACTTAAAGCACAAAGATCCAAACTAAAAAATAGATACATTGACTTCATCAAAATTAAAAACTTACATTTTGCAAAATGATTTCGTCATGAAAGTGGAAAGACAACTTACAGAATTGGAGAAAATATTTGCAAGTCAAACCCAATAAGGGTCCAGTATGCAGAATATATTTTTAAAACTTGTAATATGCAGCAATAAAAGGCAAAAACTCCAATTAAAAAATGGGCATATAATTTGAATAGACATTCTCCAAGAAGATATACTAGTGTCCAGTAAGCTCATGAAAAGATGCTCAACATCATTAGTTACTAAGGAAATATAAATCAACATCATAAGATACCACTTCATACCCACTAGGATAGCTATAATAAAAAAGACAAACAAAAGCAAGTGTTGGCTAGGCTATGGAAATTGCTGGTGAAAATGTAAAATGGTACAGAGGCTTTGGAGAACAGTTTGACAGTTCCTCAAAAAGTTAAACACAGAATTTCTGTATGACCTGGAAATTCCTGGAAATGCCAAGATAGGTATATACTGAAGAGAATTGAAAGCCTATGTTCACACGAAAACTTATACATGAATGTTTACCATAGCATTATTTATAACAATAGTTAAAAACTGGAAACAACCTAAGTGTCCACCAACTGATGAACAGATAAATAAAATGTGGCATCATGTGCCACAATGTGGTACAATGGAATGTTACCTGGCCATAAAGAGTAACCCTACACCATAAATAAACCATGAAAACATTATGCTAACTGAAAGAAAAAGCCATGTATAATAATTCCATTTATATGAAATGTCCAGAATAGGCCAATCTTTAAAGACAGTTAGTGGTTACAAAGATTGGGGAAAGAGGAAATGGGGAGTGACTCCTAATGGGACCAGAGTTCCTTTCTGGGGTGATAAAACTGTTCTGGAATTAGATAGTGGTGATGATTGTACAGTCTTACAAATATACTATAAAGCACCGAATTGTATACCTTAAAAGGGTGAATTTTTTCTCAATAAAAAAAGTGCCAAAAGGGAATGCCAAAAAAAAAAAAAAAAAAAAAAAAAAAAAAAAGGATGAAGTACTGCAGGGTGTTATTACCTATCACCACCATTTGTGGGAAAGAAGGTTGCAGTAACTATATACTATTGCTTACATGTGCATAGAATAATTTTGCTAGGGTACACAAGGAAGTGGTAACACTGATTATCTCTGGGGAGGGCAACTGGTGTCTGGAAGACATAGATGGGAAAGAGTTTTTCACTGTTATACACTTGTTTCTTTTGAATTTTCTACCACATAAATGTAACATCTACTTTTAAATATAAAAGCTGAACCAATAATAATAGCTACCAGTCACTGAGTGCTTACTATATGCCAGGTGCTTTATAATCATTTAATCTTCACATTGACAGTCTTTTGTCCTATTTTTAGGACAAGAGGATATTTTATCTCCATCTACAGAAAAGGAAACTGAGGCATATAGAAGGATAAATTATATGCCCAAATGAATGCAGCTAATAAGCAGCAGAGTTAGAATTTCAACCGAGCCTATCTGGTTCCAGAGTCCTCGTCTGGATTGCTACTCTATATTACCTCCCAGAAATTTAAAGGAATGAGGGAGGAGGACAGAAAGTGGGTGAGAAGAAGAAAGGAAGGAGTAAGATGGGAGGAATGCTAGGGGGAAGATGAAGGGAATAGAGGGACAGGAAAAAGAAAGGTAGCAAGAGGGAGAAAAGTGGAAGGAGGAAATGTATAGATTAGATTGCATGATTTAAAGGGTAAGTGCAGGCCTCCCTTTCATAAACGTCTCCCTTCCTGTCCTTAAAGTTCTGATCTTGGCCATTTGAAGAGAATAGTAAAGACTGGGTACAGGAAAGCCTAGTTCCCATGAAAGCCTGCATAGCCTAGCATAATCTCTGGAATCAAATCTGAGTTAGAAGCTCAGCTCTATCATTTTGTGGCTATGTTTGTTGGGGTAAACTCTTTCTAGGCTTCCATTTCTTCATCTGTAATATGGGATAATAATAGTACTTGACTCACAGAATTGATATAGGATTTAAACAATGTATTTCAAGCACAAGTAAGTAAATAACGAATTGCAGCCATCATAACATTAGCAAATTCACTCTATGGACACTAGATGATTGAGTTACAAAGTGTAAGAAATCAATGGGAAGATCATACTCAGTGGAAGAAACACCATCAAATAGATAAAGGCCAAAGATGGCAACTCCAAAGAGAAGAAAAAGGGAGAAAGCTAAAGTTACACATACTTTGGCAACTTCACAATTTTACCTGGGAATGGCCAAATCACACAGCACAAAGGAGAAATGGATTCCCACAACCCTTTGTACCTCTCAAAAGACTCCTTGACTTCTTAGGAGCCCATCACCAAATCTGTGCCAAAAGAGGGCAACACGAAGGCACTCGCACTACCAGCCCTCCTTAAGTAATGGCAATTTCTTTATTAGGGTCATAGTTTTTCATCTGCTAATGGATCTCACCTTACAAAAGATGGAATCAGTTCATCTTAAAGCCTTCCAGGCCTCCTGTCTACTCCTGGTTTTAACTTCTGGTAGAGTTGTGCTAATGACTTTTAAGAGTTAAAAAAAATCTAAGTGGCACGTTTTAGAAAAAAATAGTCTTTTATTTTGATAAACATATAGATAGCAGTAACTATAAAGGCTAGTATACTTAATATGTACACTATATATTTAAAAGGAGAATCTGGGGCATTTCCTTGTGTTATATACAATAAGAGAATCATGGTCCCTTCAGGTTATTGTTCTTTTAACACATACATCTTGAGTTTCTTCTGCATCACAGGGTAGAACTAAGTGAATTAGGTGTTAGTTGAAGGACAGCTGAGAAACAGGTACCTCAAGGGTTTGGCTGCGAAGCTCTAGAGGAATATGCATGAAGATACCCTCCGGTATTTTCTGTAACATTAGCACATGGCACTCTAGGAATCGGACAAAGCCATGTGCACCAAATAGCGAAGCATTGGTTCTTTTCACCAACTTGTTCTCCTTGACATCAGCCACTCTGTTAAATCCTGAAAGAAGGAACATAAAGAATGTGATAAATACAAAGAATGTCCTCAGCAATTACAAAGTTAATAGCGGCCCTGGGAAAGAAGGAGATTTGCAGGGCTCTGAGGAAAGGAACTATATTCTTTCCTCTCCTTTTCTTGCCTAATGTTATCATTCACCTTCACAGACATTACATTGTGACTTCTAAGACCTTTTTCTCTCCTTAGTGACCATCCAGTTATTCCAAGGAAACAACCCAATTGCTTTGGCTAAAAGCAAGAAAGAACTTTCTATGCCTAAGGGTTACCAATACTGAAACAAAGAGCTGAGAGAAGCTGAAGAAATTGCTGTTTAACAATAGAAGGGATTCCTATCTGTCCAGGCAGGGCCTAGCATTAGGAAGAGGATTATACTTACCTCTGGAGCAAGGACTAACTCCTTACATCTGTGTGTCCCTTTTTACTTCAGAAGTGCAGCCTTTGACTGCTCATGAGTAAGAATCTGAGACTGTCTTTATGTCTCTCACACAAGGGTTCCAGGAAGAAATGCTTACTCTGTATTCCTAAATTTCTTTTCTAAGAGTTATTTTCCTGCAGAAATTCTCCTTTTATCCAAATCCTGGTCAAGCAAGTGTCAAAAGGTCTGATGCTGTTAGTCAGGGACATGAATTCTCTCTTTTCACATCTCATTACAGAGGCCTTAAGCTCAGATACCCACTGGTGATAGACAGGGCAGGTCACACATCGAGAGAAGAACTCCTTAAAGTACTGAAAGGAAAGGAAGGTCCATTAGCTCTGGGATTAGTGCATCATTCTCCTAACATGCCACTTCATCAGAACTTACAAAGGTCCTCATTCAGCATATTCACTCATGGCTGAGGGAACAGGGAGGAGTTACTGATGGCAAAATAGGCCTGGAAAACTGGTTTTGGGATACAGAGGAATTGCAATGTGTTTTAGACTCAGAAGGGCTGTAGGGAGATGTGTCAAATTACAGACTGAACCATAGAGTACAGGTCCACTGAGCAAGGCTAAATGTTAATATTTTAATGATACTGGGTAGTAGCTGGCAAAGGTGGAAAGAAACCCAGTACAGAACTAGATACAATAATATCTGGCAGGATACATAAGGTAGGTGGAAACTTTCTAGGTGGAGAAACAAAGGATTCAAAGAGTAAAGGAAGATAGAACCAGTAAAAGGGAAAACAAGGAAGAGATGCAGGTGGTAGAAAGAGCATCACAGGGTAGAACTAAGTGAATTAGGTGTTAGTTGAAGGACAGCTGAGAAACAGGTACCTCAAGGGTTTGGCTGCGAAGCTCTAGAGGAATATGCATGAAGATACCCTCCGGTATTTTCTGTAACATTAGCACATGGCACTCTAGGAATCGGACAAAGCCATGTGCACCAAATAGCGAAGCATTGGTTCTTTTCACCAACTGGCAAGCCTTGGAGAAATAGTGCTCAAACAGGCCCCACTGTGATTCCTGGGCAAACCTGGAGGAAAAGAGTAATAGCTCTCAGCAATATCTGCTGCTTACCAACCATGACTTTTGCTTAAAATCGTCACTTCTTTAAGGCTCTAAGACCTTCTGGACAGTCAGAATTGTGATGCTAGAAAGTGATCAAGGCTACTAACTCACATACAAGGAAACTTAAAAAGAGACCAATTATATTCAGCCTTGCTATGGGTTACTCTAGCAGTTAAGTGTAACCCTAAATGTAACCCTTGACCTACAGGCCAAAACCTGTTAAAGGACAAAAGCCCTTTTAATAAGATGGGAGGGTATGGGAGGTGAATGGTCTTTAAAAGTTGGTTAGAGATGTTCAACAGTCCTGTCAGGTGGGGAGAGACAGCTTAAATGACTTAAATGTCTATCCTTTTCCACAACCCTTGAGTAAGACATTACCACATGGCCAGGGAGGAGTGGACCCCCAGCATGACATTGCTCTGAGAGATCAGAACACGGCTGTGCTCGTAGATTTGAACGAAACGCAGACACTCACTAAAGGGCCGAAACAGCAATCCTGTGGACAGAGAAGGTAACCACGCTAGTATATACTATCAGTGTAGGAACCAGGGGATAGAAGATATGTGATACAGGGAAGGAAACAAGACCCCAAAGGCAGACACCCCTGAATCACAACATGGTTCCCAGACTTTAAGGAGCCAGAGGTCAGGGGCAGAGGCCATGCCTGAGGGACAGGTTCATGACTGCCTGTATTCCAAACCTAGAGCCCATCTGAGGTCTGAATCCCTCAGGAGTACAGCAGAGACCTGTGCAAGATTTACCTTTTCCGTAGAGCAGCAGATCTAAGCAAGCAGAGTAAAAGCAGGCCAGGCCAAGGACATCAAAACCCTGAGAAATGAGCGCCCACTGACTCTCCAGTACATGGACACACAGACCAAATCTGCCGAGAGACAGAGCCACTGGGACCAGCTAGGGAGTGAGGAGGATGCGTAGGAAAGGAAGGGGTCTTACACCTTCAAAGCAGCCTAACATCCTTTAGATCTCTTCATAGCTCTATTTATATAGAGAACATCTATGCCTGGGATCAGACCTATCTCTAGGCAAAGGAGGTGGGAGACTGCCTCTGAGGCAGTTTCCAGGGTCTTCAGCTGCTGCAATTTTCTATCTCCTTGCAGAGTTTTTTTTTTTTTGAAGAAAGTTTGTCCATGAGCCCCCAAGTGCTGAGGAATATATAGTAGCTCTGACTCTGCATTTCCACTCCTGATTCTTTCACACTTAAGATAATGTGGCTGGAGTGGCCAAGGGAAGGATATCCCGGGGTGTGGAAATGGAATAGCATCTCCCTCTCCACTCCAAACTTCTCTGGGAAAATATACACACCCCTCTTAGGAAACAAATACAAATGACAGAAAATGATCTTAATACTTCTTCTTCAGAAATGCAGATCTGAAGAGAACTGAGAGAACCAGATTCTCCAGAGCTGGTTTCTTGAGGTGTCTGCATATCTCACGAGCTTGAAAACCTGAGGAGGTTCAAGAGCACCGTGTGAGGTCCAGCTGTGAACATGTACTCTCTAAAAGCCCTAGACCCACCATCCCTAAGTCCCTTTACCCAGCTTGATGGAGAAGTCAAGATGGCCAAGGCAGAGCTTGGTGTAGGCCAGGGCCTGCATGAGCTGAGCTGTGGCCAACAATCCCTCCCTGGAGAACCAACATAAACTGCTTTTCTGAATGGCCATCTGCTCACAGTGCAGCCACTTGTCCTTGATGCCCATGCTCTGGGAGAACTGAGAGAGCTCCACATAGGTAGAGACAACCTGCAGGGAAACAAACACAGGGCAAAATATTCCCATTGTACATTCATGTAACATTTCCATTTTGTTCCTTTCCTATGTAAGAGCCTATTATGATGCCTTGCTGCTTACTCAGTCTAAACTCCTGGTATCCCACAACTTGCCTCCAACCCAGCTAGAAAAATATGCTCCTTCTCACCCCTACACTTCTAACTGGATCATTCTCACTGCCTGTTCTTTAAACAAACCACTTTCTCTACATGTTCCTGCTTTTCCTCTCCAATCCATGACTTTCCCTTTCAAAACACTGATTAAACTACCTCTTCTTTGTTTTCTAATTTAAGACCTCTGATATTTGCTCCATAGAGCTCTTCAAGGCTGCTGCCTAGATCTCTATGTAACTATGTGCACATCTGAAATAGTGTTCTATATAACTATGTGTGCACTTGAAATAGTGTTCTCTTCTTGGAACACTGTCTTCCCTAGCTTTCCAGCATGCCAGGCTCTGTTGGTTTTCCTCCTGTCTCCCTGGCAACTTATTCTCAGTTTCTTTTGCTGGTTTCTCCTCACCACTCTGACCTTTTAACACTGGAGCTGTTAACAAAGTCCCTGGAACTTTTCTATACTAATTCCCTTGGTGTTCTCACACAGTCCTGTGACTTTAAACAGTATTTGCACATTGATGGTTCCCATATGTCTATTTCCAGCTCAGACCTCTCCCATGAATCCCAGACTTGAATATTCACCTGGACTCATATTCACCAGACTTGTCTCCACCTCGATGTCTAATGGGCATCTCAAATAAAATATGTCTAAAGCCTAGCTCCCAAATCTTCCCCCAAATCTATTCTTCCTGCAGACTTCCCTATCCCAATTAAGAGCATCTCTGTCCCTCTAGAAGTTCGGGTCACAACTTTTTGGATTATCCTTGACTCTTCTTTCCCTCACATCCCAGAGCTGATCCATGAGTGAATCCTATTGCCTCTAAACCCCCAACCTTTTTTCCCCACAATAATCAAAGCCATCACCATCTCTTGCTTAGATTACTACATTAGCTTCCTAACTGGTCTCCCTGCTTCCTCCCTTGTCCCCTTCATGTTACTTTCAACACAGCAGACAGAATGATCTTATTAAAATATAAGTAGATACTGTCACCCCTCTTCTCAGAACCCATTAACGGCTTCCCATCTCTTTCAGAGTAAAAGCCAAAACTCCTACAGTGGCCTATCTAGGGTCTGCACCATTTGCCACCCCACCCCTTCCCGGTCCTTCTGACCTCATCTCTTGGTTCACTCTCCTCCTCTTCCTCCCCTCCAGTCACACTGTCCTTCAAACACAGAGGATATGCCTTGAGCATTCACTGTGCCCTCTGCCTGGATACTCTACTCCCAGACAGTCTGACTTTCTCGCCTCTTTCAGATATTTACTCCAATGTCACCTGCTCAGCAAAGCTTTCTCTGACCACCTTGTTCAAAACTATACCCCACCCCTCACCTCACAGAACTCCATATCCCCTTGCCTCCACTTTATTTTGCTCCGCTGCATTGATTATCACCTAACATACTGTATATTTTACTTATTATATTTCCCTGGAGTCAAGATCAGTGCCTGGCATATAATAGGTGTTCACTAAATGGTTCGTTGTTGAATATGTGGATAAGACAGAGAGAAAGGTAAGACACTAAAATGAGGAAGACACATTTCCTTTTGTTTTTTTCCTAAATCAGCAGTTTTAAATCTTTTTTAGATCACAGGCTTCTTTGAGAATCTGATGAAAGCAATGACCCCTTTTCTTCCTCCTGCCAGCCCCCAAAGGTTCTTTTGAATATACACATAAAATTCTGCATTCAGTTCTGGGAGTTCACAGATAATCTCATACCTGGAAACCCATCTATAAACTGCAAACTGAGAAACCTCACTTGAACACATGATCAGCGTTGTCTGGGTTATTGGAGAACCATGCTAAACCAGGAACTTGGTTTCTGAGTGAGGTCCAAAGGTAAAGCAAGGACCTGCTTACCTGGGCTTCATTTGCAAACTCCTCGGCTGAATTCTTCTGCATAAGAGTAGCCAGGCAGGCAAACCTGTAGCTACTGGCTGTGGCCTCCAGGTTATAGAGCTGCCAGAGTAGGGACAGGCAATGCACCTGCTGCTGCAGAACTGCCAAATTCTTCTTACTGTTGCAAGGCACAGGGTGGTCAGCACACCCTTATTCTTTACTAATGCCCAAAGTTCCCTCCCTACAAGAGCTCCAAGTCTACTCATCATGGGGCCATCTACAGATGTCCAAATTCAGAAATAGTCCTTGGTTCCCACTACTCCTAACTGCATATGCCATTTTAATTAATCCCTCTTGATCAGGAAAAGTTCAGAGAGAGGTTTCAAAAAAAGATTCATTCTTTAAATCCCTATTTGCTACATGTAATTGGCTGGGGGAGTAAGGTGGAAGAGTTAGAACTGTATGTTATATACTTATTTGTTACATGCATATATATATATATATATATATATATGAGATATATATGCTGACTGTTATATATCTTGTTATTTGCTTGTCTGTTAGATGCTTGAAGATTATTTGATAGAAAAAGAGTAGTTTTAGGTCAAAAAGGCAAAGCTCAGGCTAGTTAACTACAGTCTTAGGAAGCCTTCTCACTTCTCACTAGGGTTGTTTGGAGGTTGGCTCAGGGTACAGGGATGCCAATACTTTTCCAGGAATGTCTGGAAAAGGACACCAAACCAGGTCCAAGGGAAATTCCTTTTCAGCAGCCGAAGGGCTTTCCTAGCCAATTTTTTGGCTAAAGTGATGTGTCCCATGTTGAAACAGACCTGGAGATGGGAAAACAAGAAGAATTAATGTAAATACAAGGTTTTGGATATAACACACTGGCTCTTTCATTTTGAGATGTGTAGTTGGGGTTACTGAGGTGCTAAGCGTGAGCTGAGCTAGAGCATAGCCTGGTTAGCAGTCACCCTAACAAGCACCAGTATGGCCATAAGTGAGTAAAGGGTTGAGAAAGTAGGATTATGGAGAAAGTATCCTCCTTTCTCATCTCCCACACATTTGTCAGTGGGCAGTAGAGGAAGGCTGTGATTTAAAATGTGATGCTGCTAGACTGAGAAGGGATCGTCATTTGAGTGGAGACTCAGATGCTCTCACATAACATAGAAAGCATCTATAATATCACCAAATCCTTTATCTCTCTTCCAAAATAGGTTGACTCACAGTAGATGTGGGGTGGGAGCTGGGGAACTACCTTGAAGTTATCCTATATCTTCACATTCTAAGGCTGAATCCCTCAAGAAAGTGATAAAGTCTATGTGATTCTAGAACAAAGAACAATCTTGGGAGGACTGTACAATAACTCTCACTTATAAAGGGAAAGAATAATTATTTAACTTTGCTCTACTTATAAAGGGAAAGAATAATTATTTAACTTTGCTCTGAAGACCTCTTGGTTGAAGCATAAATAATGCAACAATGTGACAACTCTAATACTCCCTTTGGCCTTGAAGACATTATATACCTTAAGTTTACTATCCTAACCAAATTATCCTAAGGTTTACATTAAAATTAGTTTACATATACTCCAATGAGCAAATTCGTTTATATCTACTTCAATGAACATGAATGGATAATTCACAAAAAAAAACAAATGACCAATAAACCTAGAAGAATGATGTACCTTATTAATTAAGAGAAACACATTAAAACAATATAACTTTGTCTAGGAATTAGCAAGGTTAGAAAAGACTGGTAGTATCTGATGTTAGTAAGGATATGAGGAAATGGGAAAAACTTGAGTTGATACAATATTTTTGTTTGGCAATTTGGTGATGTATTTATGAATTTTAAAATTGTGTCTTAGCATTGCCACCTTTGGAAATTTCTCTTACAAAAACACTCTCACAAGGAGAGAAAGAGATACTTAAGAAGAATATTCACTGTAGCAATGTTTATAATAATCCCCAAAATAGAGATAACCTAAATGCACCTGAAGAAGGGAAGAGCTAAGCTATGATCTAGCCAATGGAGTACTTGGCAGTTGTAACTATGTGGTGGATCGGTATGCACACCAATATGTAAATAGGTTCTGTCTGTACTATTAAGAATAAAAGCAAACTGCAGGAACAAGAAAATGTAGAATATGATCCTATTAAAAAATAATGGAAAACAATGATATGGCTGTGTGTGTACAGTTGGTGGAACATGCATACAATTATTAATTATGGTGGGGGGGTGTAGGATTAGTGGGAGCTCTTTCACTTTCTACCTATTATATATTTCTATATTTTAAATGTGAATAAACCTTTTATCACATTATCACATTTATAATCATACACAAAAAACAATGAAGAGATTTTAAAAGAAATAATAGGGTAACCCTCAAGGAGAAATAGCCAGCACTTCAAGGTCACCCCTGTCCTCACCTCTGACAGAAGACGGCAGAAAGTAGCCTCCTCAAACTGACAGATCTTCACTTTGTGTTTTTTCAAAAATGAAAATGCTGAGGGTTGGCCCAGAAGACTGCTTGCCTTCCTTAAATAAAAGAAGGCCTCCAAACAGGGCAAGGGATAAAGAAACCAGATTAGGATTAGGATGATGCTGGTGTGATTAGGGCAAAGGCTGGAGTAAGGTTATGATGAGGGTCAAGATCAGAATTTGAAACAGATTTGGACTTCAAGCTAGAAACAGGAGCTGGACTGCTTGTGCAAGAGTCAGGGGCAGTGCCAGCACGGGTTGGTGCTATTCCACTACCATATTCCCACTTCATGTTTTTTCCTTTCTAGCTCTTCTCTCTCTCCTACTTTCTTCCACTTTTCACTCATGGTTATGATTGTAAGAGATCTCAATCAAATTCTCAAAGTAAAAGGCTCAGCTGAAGGGCAGATTGCAGAGCCTGCTCACCATATAATTGTCTGACAGGTCCAAGGAGGCAGCCGCAGCCTCCAGCAGGTAATAAAATGCACAGGTCGTTTCTCCAATGACCAAGCAATGCTGGGTGAGGGGTGAGAGCACTAACTTCAGGATATCCTTACAGTGACAAGGCTTTGTGGTCAACAGGTCTTTCTCAGGGCTGGTCTGAGCCAGCTTCCTCTTCACTTGATCTAGGAACTCTTCCTCTGTTCTTTGTGGAAAGAAAATGAAAAACTGAGAGTGGCCACCTTTATTGGGGCATTACCAGGTCTCAAAGTCACTTTTTCCAGGAAGCTTTCCTGTATCATTCATTAATTATTTGTCTATCCTTCTCCTCAATTACTCCATAAAATTTTAAAAGTCAGGGACCAGAGCTGTAACTGCAAAGCTCTATTAGGAATTTTTAAAAGCTGAAAGCCAATCTAAATAGCTCAATCTAAATGGGGAAATACCACACTTGAATAGTTAAATAACAATCTAAATGTTAAATAAAACATAAAAATGATACAAAGCAATAATAATACATTTTTTCTGATAGCATATTTGAATTTTCTAATACCACATTTTAATATTATTTTATATATCATCATCTAATCCTACAACAACTTTCTCATTCAGGCAGGCAAAAATTACCTCTTTTAGGTCATTGAGGCTCAGAGAAATTACATATAGCTTCGTACGGAGAAGTAGAACCAAAACTAGAGCTTACCACTTTGACTTCTAATCTAGTGTACTTTTCACAGGCACGCTGAGCTCAAAAGTCAGATCTCTCTAAGCTATAATGATCTAAAAAAGTGGAGACTGAGGAGGGCCTTGAAGGATGGTCAACATACTGATAGGTGGAGAGATGTGGAGGTCACTCAGCATTTAACAAGGGAGAATTGTGTGAGCAAAGACACACAGGTTAGTGTGTCTTTTTGTTTGTTTGAAAACAGTAAGAAATTTTTTTTGATTTTTTTTTGAAATTTTTGTTTCAAAACAGTTTTTTGTTTGAAAACAGTAAGAAATCAAGTTAGATAAGTGGGATGGGAAACTGTATATAGAGTGGCTGGTGCACTCCAGGTAGGGACATTGAAACTGAAAAGCATTAGAGATCCAGGAGGTACATGGTTAGGAAATGTATGTTCATTTTAATATCATCTGGGCTAAAATAATTAAGAAGACAAATCTATAGCTGGAAATAAAAATGCTACATATAAAATGCACTTAAAAGCTATTAAACGGCTGGGTGTGGTGGTTCACGCCTGTAATCCCAGCACTTTGGGAGGCTGAAGCTGGTGGATCACCTGAGGTCAGGAGTTCAAGATCAGCCTGGCCAACATGGCGAAACGCTGTGTCTACTAAAAATACAAAAATTAGCCAGGTGTGGTGGCATGCACCTGTAACTCCAGCTACTTGGGAGGCTGAGGCAAGAGAATCGCTTGAACCTGGGAGGCAGAGGTTGCAGTGAGCCGAGATGGTGCCACTGCACTCCAGCCTGGGCGACAGAGACTCAAAAAAAAAAAAAAAAAAAAAGGAAAGAAAAACGTGTTTTTAAAAAGTTTTTCTCAACCATTAAGAAATAATTTCCCACCAGGCGTGGAGGATCATGCCCGTAATCCCAGCACTTTGGGAGGCTGAGGTGGGCAGATCATGAGGTCAGGAGATCGAGAGCATCCTGGCTAACATGGAGAAACCCCATCTCTACTAAAAATACAAAAATTACTAGGGTGTGGTGGCACACGCCTATAGTCTCAGCTACTCGGGAGGCTGAGGCAGGAATCACTTTGACCTGGGAGGCAGAGGTTGCAGTGAGCCAAGATCACGCCGTTGCATTCTAGCCTGGGTAACAGAGTGAGACTCTGTCTCAAAAAAAAAAAAACCAAAAAACAAAAAACAAAAACAAAAGAAAAAGAAAAAAATAATAATTTCCCTATAGAGAATCAAAAATTGCCTTTCCAAATATTCTCTGTTAACCTTAATACTGGGCTTAGTACAAGAGTCACCACTCCTCAACTGCAAGTGACATAAGTGGCTTAGTTTAATGGTCATCTTTCTGTCACTTTTGGTCCCTCCATGTTCACCCTCAGCATTTCTGTCTACCTGCAGCATTCACTTGAGAAGGCCTCCTGAGTTCTGGATGGTTTCATCTGGAATGGAAAACTATCTGTAGGGAGAAAAAAAATATGATTAATTCTCCATGTTTGGATGAACTGAGGACATTTTAAATTCTTGACTACCTTTCTTCTGCAGTTTACAACACAAAATTACGATGGTAGTTTGTAAATTCCTTCACAACTACCTGTGATTCAAATAGTAACTCTCATCATTCCCAAACCTTCAAACTAGTTCTGATTTTGAAGGAGGCACTCAGTATTTTCAAGATGAAGGAAAAATAAAGAATGTGTCCATCCTGGTTTGCTGGCTATTTCTAGTAGTGGAAATCCCTGAATACATATGGATCAGGGTCATGACCAGATCAGAGTGAACTGTAAAGGCTAAAACCAAGTGAAGAAAATTGTGATAGTATAAGATACCACAGTTCCCTAGTCAGTGACCAAGAGAGCTTTCCAGCTTTATGTAGCAGGCTTTAAATAGCCTTTATCCTACAGATTTGATTCTTCTTCTGAAGCTGCCTTCTAACAGATAACAGCAAATATTAGGAATGATGTTGAGATGTTACCCATTGCAACTCACAGCATGGATGGTGGGACTGATAAGGAGTCTAAGAGGACTGTTTTAGGGAGAACTTGGGTTAAGTAAAAGGACTGGCTTGCTGATGATAATGTTAAATCACAGCTAAGATAACTGAGGATATTGGCAGCTCTACTGCAGTACACAACTCCAAGAGGCACCCTCATATCATAGCCTCTGTAATAGTACCCTCTGGAGCCAGGCAATGCCAGGTCTGCAATGGCAATGCACAAAGGCCTCGGGTCTGGGAAGCCTCCTCAGGGTTCTGCTGGGCTGAGAAGGTCTTGAGCCTTTTTCCTATGGATGGACCAGGCTGTCTAATCCAAAGCAAAAAAAAAAAAAAAACCTGACCTTTTTATTTATTTATTTATTTATTTATTTTTTGAGACAGAGTCTTGCTCTGTTGCCCAGGCTGGAGTGCAGTGGCTGGATCTCAGCTCACTGCAAACTCTGCCTCCCAGGTCCACGTCATTCTCCTGCCTCAGCCTCCTGAGTAGCTGGGACTACAGGTGCCCGCCACCAGGCCTGGCTACTTTTTTGTATTTTTAGTAGAGACGGGATTTCACTGTGTTAGCCAGGATGGTCTCGATCTCCTGACCTTGTGATCTGCCCACCTTGGCCTCCCAAAGTGCTGGGATTACAGGTGTGAGCCAACAGGCTGGGCCAAAACTGACGTCTTAAAAGCAAAAAAGTCACACAGGAAATATGAACAATAGCACAGTTTCTTCACAATACCAGACTTTGGAAAGCACAACAGGTACAAATGCACATAGAGCTCATCAACCAATGACTAATTGCTCCAAGTCACTGGTCCACCTTCACAGTCATGATGTTATACCTAGAAGAAGAATTGTATCATACACCAAATCCCTCATTTCAGCCTTTTGCCGACAACTATCTACCATTTTCCACATACCATCACCCCACCCCCAATACCAAACCAACTCCCTTTTATCAAAGTAGGGAAAGAGGATTTGGTTGGGTTTTGATAGCTATCTTCAAGTATGGAAGAGGGTATAACTATGAAAAATGGATGAAGCTACAAGGAGGCAGCTTACATCCTGATGAAAGAAGAAACTTTCTGACAGCTGGAGACGATGAGTTGTTCTGTAAGGTAAGCTAACTGAAAAGGCTAAACAAAGAGGAATGACCTCATATGTTTAACAGGCTATGGTGAGTATCTATTAACCAATAAAACCTTCTTCAGGTAGCTAACTCCTACTTATCCCTCAAGATGCAATTCTGACATTATCTACTTCAAAGGAGAATCTTCACTGACATATTTCCCCAGCTGAGTTAATGGCCCCGTCTCATTTTCATTGCTTTTAGCATGCCATACTAGAATTCTCTATCTATATGTGTGTAGTAACCCCCAAAACAGATAGCTTCAGAAGTGCAAAGAGCAAGGCTTATTCACACCATATTCCTTGGTATAGAATCTGACACACATAAGGACTCAATATGTGTGTACTGAGCTGAAAAATAATAGTAATAATCAAAACAATAGCTAAAGGGTATTGAGCAATCACCGTATGTCTGGCACTGTTCAGAGCATATTTTAACTAATTTAATCCCCACAATGTCCCAGTAAAGTTGATATTATTATTAATTAATTAATTAATTTATTTTGAGACAGAGTCTTACTCTGTCGCCCAGGCTGGAGTGCAGTGGCATAATCTCGGCTCACTGCAACCTCCGGCTCCCGGGTTCAAGCGATTCTCCTGCCTCAGCCCCGCGAGTATCTGGGATTATAGGCGCCCACCACCACACCTGGCTAATTTTTGTATTTGTAGTAGAGAGGGGGTTTCACCATGTTGGCCAGGCTGGTCTTGATCTCCTGACCTCAAGTGATCCGCCCGCTTCAGCCTCTCAAAATGCTGGGATTACAGGTGTAAGCCACCGCACCCGACCCGTGAAGTTGGTATTGTTACTGTCCCCAATTGATTGAGGTTAAGTAACTTGCCCAAGATTGCCAATCAGAACAAATATGATCTCTAAGGTAGTCTTTAACTCTGAGATTACATTTTTTTAAATCTCTAGTACTTAAAGAATAAATAAGTGGTTCTTTCTACCTACTTTTCTCCTTTAATCTGATTTCAACTTTTTGATGAAGAATTCCAAGTACATGAATACCCATATATCCTCTTTCTGCCTCCTGGGTTTACCTTGGGGAGAAGGCAGCTGCAATTTTTCTGTGATCACTTGTGTTAGCACTGAGCCAGTATCTCTGTAAGGACAGAATCGAGAGGTCCCCTTGGAATTCTTAGTAGAACAAACTGCAAAACGGTGAAAGGGGACAAAGTCTCCTCCATGGCAGCTCCCACAGCGGCAGGCCAAAACTTGGAGAAAGCAGGCACATTCGAGGTGTAAAGCTATCTGTTGTTCCTTGGGCCAGAGCTCCCAAGCAGCTGCCCGTAGTAGAGGCACTCCAAATTCCAACACCTCAGTTTGAGGTAGGGATAATTCTTCTTTTAGCCTGAGAAGAGAGGCTGAACCACCATCTGAAATTTAGGAAAATCTAAGTGAGATTTTCCCTTATAATCCTTTGTGCTTCAATATGGCAAACTCTCAAGCACATGGCTGCTAGTGTGTAAGAAAATTCTATTTACAACCCTAGGCTAATATTACTGCCTCCTTTGTATAAAAAATTTTGTACCATTCTGAGAGTGATACTGACCATATCTTGTATAAAGTACAACAGAGAAGAAATGATCAGTGGTACAAAAAAATCCTGTACTTCTATACCACTGATTTCTTAATTGTTTCTCCTAAATTGAGATTTTACTTCAAATTATTACAAGTGTCAAATCATAGGAAATGCTCTGTTCAAATATAGGGCCCAAACATATTTCAAAGTCAAAGGGAAAGTATTTGTGAATTATATGTGCTTTGGGTAGCCCATGTTACAATCTTATTCTTTCATATGGAGAATTTGAGATCGCAAACTATTTATATCTTGCTTTGTTCATGTCTGTTTCAATTCCACATGTGTTTGTCTTCCTTGTGAGTTTCTAAAATTGGGGATGGTTTATTCTTTTATCTCATTCTTTGTACCTAGAAGCCAATAAAAGATTATGTCAATATTTTCTGAACCAAAAATCAAAACACAAATACTAACACCTGGGTTAAAAAGGAGCTAGAATTCCTGAAATGAAGACAAGTCTGAAAAATACAGGATATTTTTTCACTACATCCATGTCTCCTTCATGGTTTAAATGATAATTTTCTTTCTGTTTCTTAGCCATAGGCTTTGAGAGAGAGACCCTCAAACTGGGTGTGGTGGTATGCACCCATTGAGCTCAGGAGTTACAGCCTGGGCAACATAACAAAACTCCATCTTTAAACAAACGAATGAGAGAACCCCTTGATATATGATATTGATGGTCTTTCTGAACACAGATATCCCCATAGGGACTCTTTGTTCAGACCTGAGTAAAAGGGAACAGCCATTCCTTACCTAACTTTGTTTTCTTCTCTTTGGTTTCATCAATTATGTCGATAGAGGAAGGCACTAATATGGGTTCAGCAGGAAGCTCTTGGCTCTTGTCGGGCCAGCAGAGCACATGTATATCCACAAGAGCTCTCAACACCTGAAGTAGCTTATTTTTATCCCAGCCAGGCAGGAGGTGCTGCAGCAAATCTATATGGAAGGAGTGCCCAATGATTGCAGCACACTTGACCAGCAACTGTTCCTCTGGGCTCAGTTGATCCAGTTGGCTTACTGCTATTTCTGCCAAAATCAATCAGTCAATCAGTCAAGCAGCAGTGAACAAGATTTCTACAAATCTAGAATATATCATGTTGAAAGTCTGTACAGTTTTTTTAAAAACAAAGATGTGCTTTTCATCTACCCATGTCTACTGCCCCCACCTCAATCCTCCCTACTCTACTTAGCCAAACTTCTTTGCTTATGCTAAGAATAACCTCTGCTTGGGAAATTGAATTTGGACTGGTAAAACTGAATGAACTGGTGGTAAGCCACAGATTTGGGCTTCCTTGGGTATAATCATTCTTGTAAAAGGTCATGCCTCTTGCAGAGCCTGAAAGCGATGCCTGTTTGGGCCATTATAAGAGATACGGCCTTTAGTGGGTCCATGAGGCCTCTAAGCACCCATGAGTCATAGTTTCATTCCCCACAGCTGAGCTATTACTTGAGGCTCCAGAGAATAGCCCCTGGAGTGCTATGTAAACTCCTGCGAAAACTCTCACTGAAGAAGAGTACCTGCTGCTGTCCTGTTAGCATCCTGTATTTCCTTCTGAGTAAGAAAAGCCATTGCTAAGCATGGTCTATCACAGCTGTATCAGTGTAAACTGTCCAGTTGAACCTGAAACCTCCAGAGTAAAGAGCTTATAATATAATAGCTAACACTCATGGAATATTTATTATGTGCCATAATTTATTTAATTTAATCCTCAACTAGCCCCATGAGGCAGGGACTATTATTGTCCTCATTTGACTGATGAGAAGTTGACTAACTTATTCAAAGTTCCATAGCCAGTAAGTGCAGGAGTCCATGGTGCCCAGGGTTTTCTGACTCTAGAGCCCTGGCCCTTAACTACCATGGTGTCCTGAACTGCTGTTTCATGTGTGTGTCTTATTTTCTCAACAAGACCACACTGTACTTGAAGGTATGCTTGTTCATCACAATATTCCTCAAGAGGGCTTAGTATTAGTACCTTGCCCACCAAACACTTGAATAAACTATTAAAATAAGAAAAATTCATTTCTAAGAAGAACATCCCCTCTCCAACTATGCCTACCCAATTCTGATAGCTTCGTTATTCTTTATGGCATCAGTCATTCTACTTTGCACTCTTCCTTTTTATTAAACTCTTGCTATGTGCATAACACTGCATCTTCACTAACACCATGGATTTTCTTAAATCTTAGCAACATCATCTCCTTTGCTTACTGTCTACTCTGGAACAAGAATATGCACAAAGGGAAACTCTGGACATATTTTGTATTAAATAATTGGAAAACTTTTCTGGGTCATCAGTCAGCCCCAAAGAGAACAATAAGCTCATTTAAGTAAAACCTTACTCAAGTAACCTTACAAGTCTTCAAAGAGCTCTTCAGGCAATGCCAGAACTTATTTCTAGAAGGTAGATTTCTTTTTTAGAAGAAATGAAGCCAGAATGATAATGAGAGACCTACACTCAACTACTCACCAAATTACTAATTGCAATGATATCTGTAATTGGTTCACTTGAGGTCTTCAAGGGACTTACCTTTCAGAAAGGGTGGGAGAAGTACTGTATCCAAGTTCACATCATCCTTGACTGTGCAGACATAAAGTTCCTGGCCTTCTTCAGAGTTGGCAGGAAACATACTATACATTATGGAATTCATGGCATTGGCTATAAAGAAAACAGGCTATGACTGAGGAAAGCACCATTCTCAGTGACTGCAGTTCCAAAGGCACAAAAATATAATAATTTAGTCAAAAAAAAAAAAACAACCTAAAGGATGAAGATGACTGGAGTGTACCATGGTTTAAAGTGTTTTACCCCACCTGTCTGCCTGTTCTCTAATTTTCTCTTATAAACTAACAACATTCTCTGTACCAATCAGTATCTTACAACTAATCACTATTCCTGTTCACCTTATAACAGCTCTTGCTTCTATTACATCACAGCTCTGGGATGCCTTTCTGCTTTTATACACACTTCTACCCTTTATTCCTCTCCTAATTTCCTCCCTTCTCCCATCCCCCATCCAAATCCTCAAGTCAGCCTTCTCATCAATAGTGTACAATTCTTTTTTCTGGACTTTCATGTTTATAAATCCTAATTTCCTAGTCCCACCTCTTGGGCTGCTTATAAAATGAACTATTGTAGATTGATTGGATTAAGTTATCCAAAGCAAGTCTTGAGTATTTTCACCCTAATTGTGTAAGATTTGTACAGTGTGCTTATCTGGGAAGGCCTAGTGTGGCCCACAATGTTAGCAAGGAAAAGGTATGTACCTCGTAAAGGCCAAGTGATGTCATGCTGGAGAATGAACTTCAGCAGCTGGACCAGCGTAGAACTCTGGGAAGCTAAGCTTACCTGAGAGGGTTTCCCACTTGCTGTTTTCCTCTTCCTCCTTTTGTAGGTCATGAAAGAGCAACATGTCCTTAGAGAGAAGGTCCTGGCATAGGACCTCGCAATAAAGGGGATTTCCAAAGCACCTGTGAAGGTAGCTGCAGGGAGGTAAGTAAGGGATTGCACATTAGAGATGACCACTTTAGGGGAGCCAAACGTAACGGTACTTCACTCTGAGGAATCTTCTTTTGTTAAAGTCAGCTCTTCATGACGTACACTAACAGAGGGGGACAGAGGCACAGAAATAGAAAAAAGTAATTTCTGATTGGCCTTGAAATGCATTTCGGCAATAACTTTTCTTTCTCAACTATTTTTCTTTTATTGATGTTGAAAGGAACTAACATTCCCTTGCTAAAGGGTCTGGCAGAAAGGGGCCTTATCACATATAACTGACACATAAAGCAAGCCACCCAAGTCCTAATTGTCTTGTGAAAACCTGGGTGGATAGCCCAGGGAGGCAGCCCCTTACTTGATTACAAGAAGACTGTCTCCCTTAAATCTAGTCTTGGGGCCTCATCATGGTTACTAATGCTATTCTCTCCCCCAACTCCAGTAAGACCTGTGCTTTCTCATTTATATTATGGCACTGGTTCCTCCCTTAATGAAGTGCTCAGTTAGTCCTAGCCACTCACATCTGCAGCTCTTGGGGGATGCTCACCACCCCTAGCTCCCAACATGCCATTCTCAACAGCGAGGTTGTTGCCAACTTCGTAATAGGCATAAGGATAGCCTGAGGGCTCTGCAGGAAATGCTGGGCCGAGCCACACAGGGTGAAGATAGGGGTCAACGTCATCACCATGATGATGGGCATACTGGAGAGCAATGTTTCCAAAAACTCCCAGGAAGCTGCATCCATATACTGGGCCTCATCAATGAGGAAAATCAGTGGTGTTTCCCTCACTGCCTGGAAAGAACAGCAAAGAAACAATAACCTCTGATTAGAAATGAAGTCACCTGGTTTTCAAATCTACCATAAATTTCCCATCAATAATTTAAATAAAATGTTAACACAGGCTAGAGTTTTCGGAGTAAAATATATTCTAAATCCAGGTAATATTTTACTTTATAAATATAAAATCTAGTTCCTAAAAAAAGTACTGGGTTTCTGTGGACAAGAAAATATTCTACCTGAAACATGAAACACGCATCAAAATATTCTCCAAATCAAACTTGAAGCTTTCAAATATTTCATTCTGGCAAAAGCTTCATTTGTGTGGGAACTCATAATACCTTAAAACAGCAATTTCCAAATCAGGCTATGCACTGGAATCACCTGGGAGTGCTTGCCAGCACTCCCAATCACCAGGCCCCACTCAAACAGACTTTAAAGATCTATTTACTTTTAATCACATTTGGAACTCCCACTCCACTCTCCGCTACCTCAAGTGACCATTCTAATGTGTTCATTGCATAGTTCTTTGTTTCTATGGTGTTCTTATAAAACATGCATTGTTGTTTTGTCAAGTAATTGTTTTTAATGTAAATGCAACTGTATTACAGATCTCATTATTTCTCTCTCTCTTTCTAACCAGGACTGTGTTTTTAAGATCATTTCATATCACTATGTTTTTTATATATTCTCCTGTTTCTAAATTCTGCATTTTATTCCATCATGTTCATGCATGCATTCATGCCGATAACTCCCTGGCCTCCACACTGTTAAGAACATACTTGTTGAGATATATACCCAGGAGTAGAATTGCTGGGTCTAGAGGATACATGTTATTAAAATTTGACTAGTTGCTTTTAGATTGCTTTCCAGAATGGTTATATCAGTCTCTACTCATACAGATTTTTGATTCTATAATCTTAGGTTAGAACATGAGTATCTGCATTTTTAACAAATACTAGATAAAATAGCTATATAACTGCATTTAGAAACTACTATTTTAAATTAAACTACTAAAATTTTATTTAGAAACAGGATCTGGAAGAGCAAAGATCTTTTCTTGTATGCCATGCTGTGTTGTAGGATGAATCTAAGCTTAAAAGTAGAAAATAACAATGAAGATATTGGCAAATCGGCAGGCCAAGAAATGCCTGAATCAAAGTGTGATGTGGACAGATTAAACATAAACTATCTCCACATATTAAGAGTTAGTGACATGTAGTGAAAGTACCCACCTCCTGAAGTACTTTAATAAAACATGCTTTAACCTTCTTTTGTCTGGCCACGTCATCCATGTGCGAAACTTTGAAGGACAAAGGAAACTGACCAGGAAAATTATTACATGTTAGCATTTAAAATGAAAATCCAATAAAAACATGCAGGTTCTCCAAAGGGAACACAAGACAATTCTATTTTGACTGAGAATGGGTTTCTGCAAGTTTGAGCACAGAGTTACAAGGGCCAATCCAACATTAATATATAGTTCAAAGGATGAGACAGAAAGTTCATGAAGGGTTAGAGACAGATATCTATCTCCTTTCCATACCAGACTCTAGTAAAACCCTTAAAGGGTTATGACTAAGGAGTAAATGACAGGTTGAACTTAGCAATGCCATTTTGGGCAGCTCCAGTATCCCAGTTATTCCAAGTATACCAGGATGAAATCTGTACATGAGACTTGTCAGAATAAGATGCAACAGACATCACGTAACATTGTTTCTTGTGCTAGGCTGAGGCACATGAACTACCAGGAACCTGAGAGCCAAAGTGAGATGACTGCTAATCTACGTAGGCAAGGGTTTAGAGACCCAAGCAAGGCCTGTCTTAAGAGAGCGATATGTTGAGGGATTAGACAGATCTTAGGATTCCATTCCAAAATACTCTGCAGGGTGGGTAGATTAGGAGAAGTGATAGAGGATAAATAAAACAAATTGTGGACCAGTGAATTTTTAGCTTGTTCACTACTGGATACCCCATAAATCCTAGACCTCTGAAGGCTTTTGAGATCCAGATGCTGGTTTCAAATGATATATTCTGTGGTAAGGGAACAGGAAGGTAGGGTTAAAAAATAAAGAAATTGTAACCAACTCAAGAACACATGGATATAATTCCTGGGGATATGCCACTGGTGAGGGCCACTTTAATGTATTTAGCACTTTAAAATATACAATGCAATCTCTTAGATACCATCTCCTTTAAAATTCACATAAAAACATATAGTACTATAATTGTTATTTCACAGATGAAAAAGCTATGACTCAGAGAGGCTAAGTGATTTGCTCTAGGACATACAACTACCAAGTGTCAGGTTCAATACTAGAATTCACTCTCTTCAAAAGGAGAAAGCCTGAGTTTTGGTGTCAAAGGAATTCCAAATCTTGGCTCTACCATATATATATATATAAAATATGTGTGTGTGTGTGTGTGTGTGTGTGTATATATATATATATATAAAATATGTATATCCTCAGGTTACTAGATTAGAAAACAATCCTAGGTCTGACTTTCCACAAAATATAACAGTAACCCAATTCAGAAAGCCACTGCCTTCATTACCTTCACAAATAAGAGGTCATTAAAAAGGCAGTGAAGTTGTTCTTCCACTATCCCACGAAGGTGTCTTTGTAGGCACTCTTGCCGGTAATAGGCTGGGCATGTATCAATTTCAAAGAAGATGGCCATGAGGGTCTGGATGGCATAGAAGCACTGCTTGGAATCTGCTTCCTTCAGCATCAATGGCAATACCCTGGTGAATATTACTATGGTCATCAAGAGTCCCCTGTATGACACGTAGGTTACTCACTTCACCAGTCCAAGAATGCTGAATCTAATGACACGAGAGTCTCGCTAACAAGGGAAAGAGGCCTCAAGAGAAGTAGGTTCTGACTAAGAAAACAGGAGTCTTTACCTATGCCCTTCCTTCTGTGTCAGGAAGTTTATTTCAGCCAGCAGCTGGCTTTTTCCATAGCCTTTTCCACCTTCATACAGAACTGCTTGTCCCTTCTTCTGGTGCAAACACCTCTGCTGTGCCATTTGGAAGGCTTCCAATTCTTTCTCCCGGTCTGTAGAGAGACAGGGAGCACCTAGCACTCCTGGATATCAATAATCAACATTATTGATTGTTGCAGGCTTTTTGGTAGATACTCTATTGATTTGAATCAATTTGCAAAGCTAACTCTCAGAATGGCTTTTTTTCTCCAGAATTCCTGGAAGAATCTCATTCATTGATGGGGCTTCATATCTCCTTCCAGAAAATCAATTCTGAGTTAATATATGCTGGTCTTGAGGGCTTATTCCAGAGCCTAAGTAGTAACATTCAGAAAAATTAGGCACCTTGTGGACACAGGTGTCTCTTAATTTTTTGTAAAAATTTTCTTAGTAACAATTTAGTCTTCAAAATCTGTCACTACTATGTAAAAATAATGGACTAATAAGTATAGACTAAAATAAATATAAAGATAGGGGATATACAGTGTGGGTGACAACAGTCTTGGTGCTATTTTCATTATTCTAAGGATGATGAATTTTTCTCTAAAGATGATCCACAATAAGCTGTCTGATCTTAATAACTAAACTCTAACTTACAAAGATTAAATATTACTAAATGTTGGTGTTTCTCAGGCAGTTATAGGACTTCACCTGAAATCTGAATACTTGACATGGAAAAGAAATAATAAATCCTCTTCAAAATGAATATAATTTCACTAAGAAAGTTGCTCTCTATTTTTTAATAAAGCTTAAAAGCATTTAGTCTTACACTGTTTTGTTTTTTTAAATCACATTTAGCTGTCTATAGCTGAAACAAATATGATTTAAGTTACAAAAGAAAACATACCCAACAAAGGGTGATTTTTGTTTCTCTTTCTTGCCAAATGTCTTTTTCCAAACATTCTGGGAAAAAGAACAAAGTGAAATGTATCTGTTAAAAATAGATTAGGAACAACTATCTTCATAAACAAATACTTTCAGATAATTAAGAAAGTACAGAGTTCTGAATAAAAAGGTTTTTAAAAACTAAAAATTTGGGGGGAGAGGGAGTAAAGAGGGAATATTATTGATTGTTTCAGGCTCAGGGAAGTAAATGAATGGTGAAGTACACAAAGAAAAAAAGAACAAAGATCTGGGTTAGTGACCTATTGCTATTCTGTTCCTGTTGGAGAACAGGATATTCACTGAAGAACTAGCTAAGAGCTAAACATAAAAGCTAAATCTCTCAGACACTAAACCCTCCTTTTGTGTGTCTTATTTTAGCATGCCAGTACTAGCAGCATCTTTTTTTCCAATTTCATGTAATCAAAAACTTACTGTTCTGTAAGAGATGAGAATGAACCTATCACACAATGATACTCACATACATCTTCTGTGGCCAAGATATTCATATATCTTCCCTGGGTTGGAGATGTTTTTCATCATTTTCTCTGGGAGTTTCTTGAAGTTGTAAGCAGGTAGCATGGATCTTAGATATGTTATCTCATCACAGGACACCAAACCTGGATAAGCAGTTATCATTCTGGCCGCAAGACTCACTTTTGGACCAATAACTGTGTCAGAAAGACAGGTGGAGAATTTTTGGACCATGTCTTCCACCTTCCTCCCTTAACTCACAAAGATAACAGTCCAATGTCCTATTCTACCTGTATATTCGTGTCTTGCTACTGCTCCAACCACGCCACAGAATACTGGTCCATTGGTGATACTGATGGAAACAAGTCTAGGGATCAGAAAAGCAATAATGGATAAACATACAGTCAGAAGCCTCCAAGTCAGGCACTAGATCTGCCGCTCCCTAGATCCAGAAGTCTAGTTTTAGAGCTTAGAGCTTAGAATGGAAAATGCCAGAGGTTGCTGTCAGTCTACATAACATGAGGGGTACAAAGTACTGAATATTACGGAGAGAACCAAAAGAAACAGAATGGTTCCCCTAATTCAGGAGTTTTAGTTTTAGTTGGGGGTTATAATTAGTAAAATATTTTTTCTTTTTTTGACAGGGTCTTGCTCTATCACCCAGGCTGGAGCGCATTGGTGCAATCTCAGTTCACTGCAACCTCCGTTTCCTGGGCTCAAGTGATCCTCCCACCTCAGCGTCCCAAGTAGCTGAGACTACAGGCACAGACCTCCACATCCAACTAAATTTTTTTTTAATTTTTGGGAGAGATAGGGTTTCATTAGTTGTCCAGGCTGGTCTCAAACTACTGGGCTCAGGCAATACACCCGTCTTGGTCTCCCAAAGCACTGGGATTACAGGTGTGAGCCACCACACCTGGCCAGTAAAAAATTTTAAAAAATTTTACATCTGGGCCAGGCGCAGTGGCTCACGCCTGTAATCCCAGCACTTTGGGAGGCCGAGGCAGGTGGATCACAAGGTCAGGAGATCGAGACCATCCTGGCTAACACTGTGAAACCCTGTCTCTACTAAAAATACAAAAAATTAGCCGGGCGTGGTGGCAGATGCCTGTAGTCCCAGCTATGCAGGAGGATGGCATGAACCCAGGAGGCGGAGCTTGCAGTGAGTGGAGATCATGCCACTGCACTCCAGCCTGGGTGACAGAGCGAGACTCCATCTAAAAAAAAAAAAAAAAAAATTTACATCTGTGGTAAGGCAAATATTTAAATACCATTTGAGAAAAAAAAATTGAAGGGGTTAACTTTCCCAGAGTTATATAGCAAAAGCCAACAGTAGAGTCAGAATGAGAATCCAGGCCTCTTGCCTCTTAGACTGATATTATTTTTACTATACCATGTTGCCTCAGATAAAACTGAAAAATGAAAGTAGATCAAGAGATATCAATACAGGGTTAATGGATCAAATAATGCTAGAATGTCATAGTTAAGGAATAATCAGAATGTCAGGACTGCAGACAGAAGGCTTTCTGAAGTAAATTTACATTTGGAACAAAATTTTTCTAATAAGTAATATTTTAAAAATTCATTCATGCATACATACATTCATTTCATTCACTAAGCACTGAGAAGTGTGCAAAGTACTGAGTATTTGGCTGGATGTTTAAAATATCCTGCCCTAGGCCGGGCGCGGTGGCTCAAGCCTGTAATCCCAGCACTTTGGGAGGCCGAGACGGGCGGATCACGAGGTCAGGAGATTGAGACCATCCTGGCTAACACGGTGAAACCCCGTCTCTACTGAAAATACGAAAAACTAGCCGGGCGAGGTGGTGGGCGCCTGTAGTCCCAGCTACTCGGGAGGCTGAGGCAGGAGAATGGCGTAAACCCGGGAGGCGGAGCTTGCAGTGAGCTGCCATCCGGTCACTGTACTGCAGCCTGGGCGACAGAGCGAGACTCCGTCTCAAAAAAAAAACAACAACAACAACAAAAAAAATAAAATATCCTGCCCTAGAGAAGTTAAGTTTGGGAAGGAGGGTGGTAGGTTTGAGGGAGGTAAAGAGATACTTATATATTACCAAGACAAATGCTCCATATTAGAGACTGATACAGCACATTAGCAGAGCAAACAGAACAGATGCACTAATTCACACTGAAGAGTAGATACAGTATTCATAAAGGAGAGGACATTTGGTTGGACCTTGAAAGTTGAAAAAACTGATAAAGTGGGGGAATGGTACTATCTGGTGGGAAAAGGTAAAGGCTTTGAGATGTCTTGTATGGTCATGCAAAACTAAGTGCTTCAAGATGGCTACAGCACAGACATGAACAGAGGTGTTTGGAGTAGAGAGAGGTAATGGGAGAAGTAGTCTTACCTCTCTAGGGACGGAAGAGTATTAGATAAATGAATTATTTTAAAAGAGGGCATATACTGTTCTAGGTGAGGCAAAAGCCCAAAGGTGGCAAGGAGCAATTCATACATAACAAAATAAGTAGATTTACTCACTGACATGAAAATTTCATGTGACAGGTAACAAGATATGCAGGTGGAGAAAGATATGCAATGACGCATAGTCTCATATTAAATCTATAAACAATTTTCAGTGGTTCAGAGAGAACATGAAAAGTAGCAATCATGTTAACACTATTATCTCCTAAGCCATCAAAATTATTTGTCTTCCTCAAAAGACAGGATTAAGGGCTCTTGGCTGGGTGCTGTGGTTCATGCCTGTAATCCTAAAACTTTGGGAGGCCAAGGTGGGCGGATCACTTGAGGTCAGAAGTTCGAGAGTCCAGTCTGGCCAACATGGTGAAACCCCATCTATACTAAAAATATAAAAATTAGTGGGCGTGGTGGTGTGTGCCTGTAATCCCAGTTGAGGGATTCTGAGGCAGGAGAATCGCTTGAACCCAGGAGGCAGAAATTGCAGTGAGCCGAGATTGCACCACTGCACTCTAGCCTGGGCAACAGAGTGAGACTATGTCTCAAAAAAAAAAAAACAAAAAGTATCTTACCATTCATTCACTCAGCTCACTGCCCCCAGGGTGAAAAAAAGAGACACTTAAGACAAGAAGACCATGCTGTCAGTTCTGCTGCCATATGAAGAGCAAGACTGAAAAATTTTTAATATTTCATGATGCTTCCTCTGCCTAAATACCCTTTCCCATCTTCTCCATTTGCTGAACTACTTTTCTTCTCAACCTGTCTCAAAAGTCATCTTTATAGTCAAGATTTCTTTGGTGCCTCTGGGGAGAATTAACCATTTCTTCCCATAGCACATTGTTGTAACTCCTATAGCATTTTATTTCTGCACTTCGATTTCATTGTATTAAAGTTAGTTGTTTACTTAGCTGAACTGGTAAAATCTTACTTCTCTTTATGTCCATAGCACTAACACAGTGCCTGGCTCATAACTGTGTCCACGGAATGCTTGTTGAATGAATGCATTTATGCATGCCAGAAATTCAGCTATTAACAAGTCAATCATGAACAAATAATACTTTTATCATTTAGTTATTTCTTATTTCTTTCTATTATACTTTATAATTCCTCCTTGCTTTTCTCAGCAATCCATATTCCTTCTTTCCTTTAAAACTTTTCTGCATTGATAAAGAATGTATTCTTTATTTGATACATGTAATTGTATATAAAGTATTTCTGGTACTGAAAAACCATAATAATGACATTCTGAGACTGCACTCCCTATGTCTCAAAAATATCCTGAAGAAATACTCAGGGAATCATCTTTCCTCTAAATGAGCTAAAAGCTGAAGCTATTTCTCAGATTAGAAAGAGGAATTCAGAGGATGTCTCAAGATGAACAGGGTCTTTGAAAAAGAAGACATGGAAAGTAGTTTTGGGTCTGAGAGCTGATGTGATGCAGAGAGAAATGAGCAATGGTATCTGCTACCGAGGCCATGTAGGTAGCTCTGAAGCTTTAGCATCTGCTCAGCATTTCCAAAATTATCTTCCTTAGAACATTGGCTCCTCTGGATGTTTATAGGTCTTTCTGGAGAAAAGTGTTTGATGACCAAGTAAATTTGGGAAATGCTGACTAAAACTAAATATAACACATTTCTTTCCCATAACACTACTCAGAACCTTTGGTATGTTAATGTTCATTGTGAACCTTGAAGAAGGAAATATAATTTGCGACACTTCCCAGACATATTTGGTCATGAAAATCTTTTCTTTTTTCATGAGCATATTAAGGGATTAATAACATTCTAACAAACACACTTTGGGAGATACTGAATTAGTAATTATCTTCAAGGAAAAAAATCACTGACCTTGAAACTTAGCTTTGAGGCTTTGACATCTGTTTGACTTAGCAGCATAACCTTTCTGGATCTTAGTTTCTTTAAAGAGGTCAAATTTGATGAACTCTAATACCCCGTCTAGTTCTTAACATCTATTATATTCTAAACTAAATAAGATGGAAATGACCAAGTTACAGCCTAAGAGTGACAGAAGACATTCTTAAGGGCATTGTAAGACAGTCTCTAAAGGCCAAAGAAATGACTCTTTTAAGAGTAAGGGCCAAGGGTGGGACCCTTGAAGGCCACAGGGCAATACAAACTTCAAGAACAGAACAGACCAGCACTGGAGGGGATGGCCCATGTGATGGTTAATACTGAGTGTCAACTTGATTGAAGGATTGAAAGTATTAATCCTGCATGTTTCTGTGAGGGTGTTGCCAAAAGAGATTAACATTTGAGTCAGTGGGCTGGGGAAGGCAGATCCACCTTTAATCTGGTGGGCACAATCTAATCAGCTGCCAACGAATATAAAGCAGGCAGAAAAATGTGAAATGAGGGAGACAGGCCTAGCCTTCCAGCCTACATCTTTCTCCCATGCTGGATGCTTCCTGCCCTCAAACATCGACTTCCAAGTTCTTCAGTTTTGGCATTCGGACTGGCTCTCCTTGCTCCTCAGCTTACAGACAGCCTATTGTGGGGCTTTGTGGTCGTGTAAGTTAATACTTAATAAACTCCCCTTTTTTTATATATATATATGTTCTATATAATATATAACATAATTATATGTAACTATATATATATATATGTATTAGTTCTGTCCCTCTAAGAGAACCCTGACTAATACTGCCCAGCATATCCACACTAGAGACAAGACTGGGAGGTAGGATGTAGGAGTATCTGCAGATCCCACCAAACCTGAAAGAAGTGTTAACAGTGTTAACATGTATTTGCCTTGGGCAAAGAGTCTGAGCATCTATTAAGCAACTGTAGCATCTTTCTTATTTCTAAAATAAGGCTTGGATCAGATCATCTCTAAATTCCTTTCCAATATTAACATTCTATGAGTGTGTATCTATAATTATATCACATTAATAGCATATTTGATTCTTTTGGGGAGTATTTGCATTTTATAAGAGGCAGCTGGGGGATAAGCAATGAAACAACACTGGATTTGAAGACTGAAGATCTGGGTTTCATTAAAAGCTCTGCTATACGCTAGTAACTTCTCTTCTGTGACCTTAATTTCCTTAATGTATAAAAGAGGGGCTGGGCATGGTGGCTCACACCTATAGTCCCAGCACTTTGGGAGGCTGAGGTGGGAGATCACTTGTACTCAGGAGTTTGAAACCAGCCTGGGCAACATAGCAAGACCTTGTCTCTACTAAAAAAAAAAAAAAAAAAAAAAAATAGCCCAGTGTGGGGCGTGTGCCTGTAGTCTGAGCTACTTGGAAGGATGAGGTTGAGGATGCAGTGAGCCGTGATTGTGCCACGGAACTTTAGCCTGGGAATCAGAGCGAGACTCTGTCTCTAAAAAACAGCAAAAAATAAAGAGGGATACAAATTTTCACATTGGTAGCATATACTAAAGTATTCTATAAATGTTAAAGCACTATTTACATGTTTGATACAATTTTTATCCATTTTGAATTAAGTTATGGCAAGCAAACCAATCTGATTCAATGTTAACACTGGAAGTAACTATTTTAAAAATTCATTCATGTACACACTTTCTCCATAGCTTTCTATTTTAAAAAGTCAATCAAAAACTTCCAACCAACTTTATCATAATGCAACTAGTGGGAAAATAGATTTTTCTATACCTTCATCTGGGTTAGGTTTTGTGAAAGGTGGTTCGGTGAGGGGTGGATGTGGAAGAGGGAGATCAGTTCAGTTTAAGGGCCAGAAAAGGCAATAAGATCTGTGAAAGACCCAGAATGAAAGCCAAGACAGCGCTAACCAGCTATGGTTCCTTACTATCTAGGTAATTTCTCCACAACTTCTCTCATACTCTCTCTTGTAGACAGGCAGCCTTTATTCTGTATCCTCTCCACAGGGATGTTATTTGCATCATATTAATTTACACATTTGTTTGTTCCTTTGCAGTGTTCTCGAATCTTGGTGTGTTTGTTCTGTTTCTCTCCTTTTCCTGACCCGCTGAATGGGAATGCATCTTTATTTCCCCTGGGTATTCAGTACAGAGATCTGTATCTGGTGATTTCTTAATAGATCTTGTTTGCTCACTTTCCTTAGCATGTTCCCTTCACATTAGGCAAATTCTGGACTACTTGAATCCCTGCCACTTGTTACTGCCTCCTACCCTGCCTGAAGAGCCCCTGGGGCCTGAGAAGCTCCTCTCTGCCCCACCTTCCTCCTTACTTGGTCTTAGCAGGATTCTCCCAGCAGAAGCTAAAGATGCTGAAGGAGCTCTCCAGGGCATGTGCACACTCGTCTGGCTTCTTATCACCAGGAAGGCCGAAAACACAGAGGAACATGCAGCCCTGGGATAGATGACAAACAAAGAAATGAGACACTTACCTGGGAAAGGAATATGGCTTGCCTAAACTAAACCAGCTCCCCCGAATGAACCCAGACCCTATCCTTGAACACTCTCCTGTTGGAAATATAGGATTCTACATGATTCATAAAATGGAAACTCTGGGCCACAGCAACATAGACTTTTTTTTTTTTCTTTTTGAGATGGAGTCTCGCTCTGTAGCCCAGGTTGGAGTGTAGTGGTGCGATCTCGGCTCACTGCAAGCTCCGCCTCCTGGGTTCATGCCATTCTCCTGCCTTAGTCTCCCAAGTAGCTGGGACTACAGGCACCCGCCACCATGCCTGGCTAATTTTTTTGTATTTTTAGTAGAGACAGGGTTTCACCGTATTAGCCAGGATGGTCTTGATCTCCTGACCTTGTGATCTGCCTGCCTTGGCCTCCCAAAGTGCTGGGATTACAGGCGTGAGCCACCGCACCTGGCCAGCAATGTAGACATTTAAAAAATCTTGATTTCACTATTCAAAGAGCTGAAATTTAAAACACAAGAAAAACTGCTATCAAGAACTTTTCAAAAATTTAATTTCTAGTGTATACCTTGAGCTAAGTCTATCTGCCCACATTTTCATCACTTATAACGTCAAGTATTAAGATTCTGCTTTTTTCCAAGATCCTTAATTATCTGAGAAAGACCTGATTACATTTACTTTACTAATAGAACCAGAAAAACATTCTTTATGCTTCACAAGGATTCTTCAACAAGAATTCAATAAAAAATGACATGGAGAGTAACCCTCAGTAACCCTGAAAATTAAACTAACAAGAACATCCCATTTCTTAATTAGCATTAGTTGAAGTTTTAATGTAATATAGCTTGTTACAAAATAAGTAGCAGGGAATTTGACTTACACTTGTGTTATGTGGGAGGACATCACTCCTCACTCACCTTTAATGCTGATGGGTCAAGTTCCCTTGTACTTACTTTCTCAAACATAAAGATCCGACTCAGCTGGCCACCCCCTTTCTCAATGACTGTGGAGATGTATAAGGCAGACTCCTGGATAAGATGACACAAATGCAACATCCACGCTGTCTTGTGGAACTCCAGGCTGACCAAAACCAGAGTCACCGTACGGAATTCAGATACATACTCTACAGGCTGGCCTTCATCAATCTGTAAAGACACATTGAATTACCTACCTGTATTTTCAACTATCAGCATCATGTTCAGGCATTTTGATTATGTATTTCATGGTATATATGAGAAAATAACTTAAGGGTCTCAGCAAAAACTTAAAAGAAATTTCAGTATAGAAGATATACAACCCAATGCACTTGGAATTAAAACTGACTAGGCAGAATTCACTGATGAAATCTGTCAAGATTTACTCTCTAAGAGTTAATTTGACACATCCATTAGTCATTACACTCTTACTAAGGAATTCACATATATGCATATATATATACAATCAGTCAACTTATATTTACCAAACATACACACTATACCCTTCTTACAGTGTACTAAATTGTTGAAGAACAAACTAAAAAACAAATATGGTTTCTACTTTCTAGGATTGAGAAATCTAGCTAAAGGTTTAAGACATGTTCATCACCGTATTATGTTGGCACAGATGGGTAAATCTGCTGGAATTACAATGGGGTGCTGGAGATTAACTGGGTAATACAAAAAAGTTGTCACTTACAATTGTACACCTGTTTATATGCACGCGTGCACACACACACACACACACACACACAGACTATACGAGGATTCGAGAACTAGGAAATAACCTTCTTCAAAAGGTTTTTCATTATGTGTTTCCGCAGCTTTTGGTCAAGATCAGAGTGTGGATCCAATTCCAGTGCAGTTCTTAGAGTCTCTGAGAAAAGAAAAATAAAAGGTCCCTGGCCATGTGGAAAATTAATGTTTAAAATTTGGGGCTTAGGTAGAAAGGACAAAGTAACTTACCAGCACTTGTACGGTAATGTGGTAGATAATCGAGGCACTTGTCAAAATGCTCATCAAAATCAAATGGGTCAATGAGCCGCATATCTCTTAACTACAGAAAGGAAACTGCTTAATTCTGTGCCCCCACACAAGAAAGGCTGAGGATTCTATCACCCTTGTTTGCCTTTTATCTCCTCAGCCTCACTGTTCTACCTCATCCATCTTCATAGGACAATATTCCCAGCCTCCCTCCTAAATTGAGTTCCAATGGTCGTTGGTTTGGCCAGGCAATATGTGAACACTATCAGAGCATTGCCCTGTGTAATAGGAAGGCCTTTTCAGGATGTGAATAGATGAAGCTAGCCTCCTACCTTCACAGCTTCATCCTCCCTCATGATTTCCACTTCAAACATACACTGCTCGCAGAGCATCCAGCAGTTCCAGGATAGGACAATCTCATTTGCCTGAGCCAAATGCTGAGCTAACCGGACATCATCTACATCCCGCCCAATCACCAAGAGGTATTGCTGCCGCTCATCTCCAACAATAACCTGGGAAATCCGACCCGCAGACAGACCTATCCAGAAAAAATGAGATAAATGGAGAATAGTCAAACTCAATTGGGAAACTATGCAACAGGAGGGGTCTGGAATCCCCACATGGCTCTATGCATCATGCCAATCTTGTTATTGCCCTCAGCTGCAGAAGTCTTAGGTGAGCTAACCTTTAAAAATAATACCTTATGGGACAAAAAACCAAGCACTGCATGTTCTCACTCATAGGTGGGAATTGAACAATGAGAACACTTGGACACAAGAAGGGGAACATTACACACTGGAGCCTGTTGTGGGGTGGGGGGAGGGGGAGGGATAGCATTATGAGATATACCTAATGTAAATGACGAGTTAATGGGTGCAGCACACCAACTTGGCGCATGTACATATATGTAACAAATCTGCATGTTGTGCACATGTGTCCCAGAACTTAAAGTATATATATATATATATATAAAAAAAAAGAATGGAAAAACAAAAAACAAACAAAAAATAACAATACCTTACGACCAGGTGCGATAGCTCATGCCTATAATCCCAGCACTTGGGGAGGCCGAGGCAGCCAGATGACCTGAGGTTGGGAGTTCGAGACCAGCCTGACCAACATGGTGAAACCCCGTCTCTACCAAAAATACAAAAAAAAATTAGCCAGGCATGGTGGTGTGTGCCTATAATCCCAGTTACTCAGGAGGCTGAGGCAGAAGAATCGCTTGAACCCTGGAGGCAGAGGTTGCAGTGAGCTGAGATCGCGCCACTGCGTGCCAGTCTAGGTGACAGAGCGAGACTCCATCTCAAAAAAAAAAAAAAAAAAAATTCTTCCCCCAGATTTCCTTCTCTTATATAATACACGTGGAGATGGACATTTTGTCTGTCTGGAGATGGTGAAGGAGAGTAGTGGAAGAAGAATGTACAAAGGGGCACAAGGAGACTTTTTGAGTGGTAAGTATGTTCACTATTTTTATTGTGGTGATGGTTTCAAAAGTGTATAAATATGCCAATGTATAGTATCAATTATCCTTAATAAGACAAAAACCAAAAGAAATGAAAGATGGCAGGACAAAAGAGATGCCATATAAAACAGAATATAATTCTTTACCACTGCTCCTCAAAACATAAAAGAACAGCTGGAGCCAACTTTTGCCCTTAAAGAGGTTTCTGAACCCTTGTGAAGGAGCTTTGTGTATTGAACTTCCCCTCCAATCCTGACTCTGCTGTTGGTGAAACTTTGGCCTCTGTATATAGCTTTTTTTTATTATATTGTGTTATATTTTTGATTCTGTCAAGCACTAACATAGTTCAAAAACTAAACTATAAAGAATATATATTTTAAAATCTTGCTTTACCTACATGCCCATCTTTACTATTTTCCTGATATTAGTAATTTTATTAGTTTCTTGTATATTTTTCCAGTGTTTCTATTTTCCTCCTTACACAGATGGTAGCATACTAAACACGCTGTTTTGTATCTTACTTTTTTTCACTTAACTATATCTTGGAGATACTGCCATGTCAAGACATCTTATTTTTTTTAAAGTTGCAGATAATCTTATTGAGTATACATATTATTTACTTAAACAGTCTCCTATAAATAAGTTGTTTTCAATGTTTTAAAATTACAAACCATATTACAATCAATAACCTTGCACGCGCAACATTTCATATGTGTGTAGGCATACCTATAGGATAAATGTCCAGAAGGATTGTGAGGTTAAGGAATAAATGTACTTGTAAGAGTAAATAGTATAGATGGTATGTAAGTGAAAACAAGACTTTTTAATATATATTTTTATATGGTTTAGTTTTTCTTGACATAAAAAGTACAATAAAGACAATAAAAATAAATATAATAAAGATTGCCAAGTCACCCTTATACCATTGTTCACTCACAGTAAGAAAAAGCTCATTCCTCAGACTCACCAGAGTACATTGTCCAGCATCTGAAGTTTTGCCTATCTATAGGTAAGAAAGGTAGTCAGTGTACTTCCAATTGGCATTTTTCTTATTAAGAATGTTGATCATCTTTTGACGTGTTAAAAGACATGAGTTTCCTTGTCTATATACAATTTACTCATGGCCTTTGTCCATTTTTCTCTTAAGAGTATTATTCTTGATTTCTAAGTGCTCTTTCCCTAGTAGAGCAATTCACCCTTTGTCTATATGAATTGCAAATATTTTTTTTCCCAGTTTATCATTTATCTTGAGGTTTTTATAGTGGGTTCCCCCTCGCCCAGTTGGATCACTCTTTTAGGAGGTACTACCTATCTTTAATTGCAGGTCCTGGCCTTCTCTGGTGTGATAGATCCCAAATTTCTCCTGTATCTCCAGACTGCATTTTGCCACCAAGGTAATGATGTCACTCAGTTGATTTTGTTCTACTCTCCAGAGTGCCAGGAGCATGTTCCCTGCAGAGACACAGGATAGGCTGACAGGGACCAAATATCTAGTCTTACTTGGTCCAGGGCAAAGTCCCAGTAACGTAGAAGATCAACTTGACCCAGTGTGGATATTATGTAAGTTTTCAGGCAAGGTTTCTTGGTTATATACATTATGCTAGGTTAAAATACTGCTTCAGATCCTCAAAATCATCCAGTACATAAAAACATAACTAGGTAGAAGTTTAAATGATCCTAAGGATATTTTTGGTAATCTTCCTTCCACCAGTATACTAACAGAGGAGGAGAGGTACTAGCAAAAGGTTCATAAAAAGTGGGTTCAAGTTCATATCTAATTTGATGGCTGGTTTTATTATGTTTAAATAAGAAGACAGGCCAACTCCGGGGCATACAGCTGTTAGTGATCTTGAGTCCTCCAGATAGGCCATGCTTGACTCCTCCCCATCTCATGCTTAGCGTCTGCTATTAATGACCAAGTTTCTCATTAGTTTTCTCAAGAATGCTTTATTGGCACTTATTTTGCTGTCCTTCAATCTAAACAAAATGCAAAGCATGTGAGAGTTTAATTTGGGCAAAGCTTTTCCATTAGACTGGGGGATCCTTTGAGGCACAGACTATGTCTTCCTCATCTTGGTATCCAGTACCTTTTAATCAAACAATGCTGAATAAACCAATATGCTGAATTCCACCTAAATATAGTCCTCCTCACTCACAGTCTTTTAAGTATTTAGAAAAACTGAAAAAATACCTGTGATATTTAGGATATCCCCTCCAAAACAGAGAACATCTGAAATCAAGTAAGAAAGAGAGAGGAAAATGAGTCAAAATCAGATATAAACCAGATCAGGGAAGAATCATATATGGTCAAAAGAATGGCCTACTGAGTTTATCCTTATGTCATTCTTGTCCATTTGCTCACTCCAAGACTCAGGTTCCTTCTTCCTTCTAGTCATTTTCTCCCCAAATCTATCTGCACCTACATACATCTTTTCTAAAATGGAAGTATTCCTGCTCTCTTCAAAGCCACCCCATTTGTGATAGGAATCTTATCCCCTTTTACCTTCTCGAGAACTTCACACTGTTCCTAATCTCTCTACTGAAACATTCTCATCAATAGCAAAAAACAAAACCAAAACACACAAAAATAACCCACATATTCTTGGCTGTACCTTCTCTTCTGCCTATTAGCTCCATTTTTTTTCCTGCTATATTCACAACAAACAAAACCCCCAAATCTCAAAAAGTTGGCTACATATATTTTCCTCATAAATGTTTTCTCTGCCATTCTTTTTCTCAGCTTACTCCAATCTGACTTCCATCTCCACTACTTCAAATTATCAAGGTCATCAACAGCATTAATCTTGCTAAATTCAATACTTCTCTGACCTCACTGTACTTGACAGCTGTCATTTTCAACCCAGCTAGCTGCAGCTTTCTTCTAGAGACACTACCTCTCCTTTGGCTTCAGGAACACCACAATATCCTACCTCACTGGCTGTTTGTAGTCTCTTTTTCAGGTTCTTTCTCCCTTATCATAATCCTTCCCTGGAGTTCCTCAAGCCTCAGCCAAAGGCTCTTTCTCTTTATTTACGCTCTTCCAACATGAACTCAATCGGTTCGTAAGTCCCACTTTATGCCATCAACTCACATTTTCATCTCTAACAGGGATCTCTTCTCTGAGTTCCAGGCTCAATCATAGCTGGATTCTCCAATTGAATGGAGTCATTCTCCACTTGAAAGACTTACTGGCATCTCAAACTCAACATATTCAAAACAGAACTCTTGATTTTCTTTCTCAATGTTCAGTCTTTCCTGTCTTGGTAAATGACATGATCAATTCATTTATGAAAGCCAAAAAACTGAGTCCTTTTTCTCACCAGTTCCCACTGAAATTTAATGTATTAGCAACTCCTGTCTGTTGAACCTGTAAAATATATTTCAGGTTAATCTACCCCACGCAGCTCCCCTGCCATACCTCTACACCAACAATCTTCAGTCTTGACTGCACATTGGAATTGCCTATGAAACTTTAAAAGATCTTATTCCTGGGCCAACCTCAAGAAATTCTGATTTAAATGGCCTGGGGTGAAGCTTAGGCATTAAGATTTTTAGTTAGACAAGGTGGACGGTACCTGTAGTCCCAGCTATTTGAGAGGTTGAGGCAGAAGAACCTTTTAAGCTCTAGAGTTCAAGACAAACTTAGCAACATACTGAGACCCCAGTCTCTTCCAAAAAAAAAAACAACAAAATATAGAAAAAAGAATAAAACAATCAAAAAGCTCCTCAGGCAACCACCGCTGAGGTTGAGAACCACTGCTCTAGACCAAATCTCCATCATCTTTCCAGGACAATTGTCTCTTCCAGCTTCTATTCTTAAATTCACTCTCCACCAGCATTCAATCTCCACACAGTAGCCAAAATCAGTTTTAAAGTGTTAATCAGATCATATTACTCCCCTGCTAGACCTTTCCAGTTTTCCTTTATACAGAAATATATAATTCCAACTCTTTACTATGGACTACAGAGCTTGGTGATCTCATAGCTACCAACCCCCAACCTTGCCTCAAACCACTCTTCACCCTGCAAGCTACGTTTTGTCCTGCACTGGCCTTCTGTTAGCTCCTGGAGTGTGCCGAGCTTTCTCCTGTCTCAGGACCTTTGCACTTGGTATTCTGTTGGAAATGCTTTACCCCTAGTTCTTCACAAGCTGTTCCCCTCATCCTTCATGTGTCAGCTTAAATAATACCTCCTCAGAGGAGCCTTCTATGACCACCCTGTCTCATACACTCCCCTATCCTAAAATTATTTTGTTTTTTTTAATACCACTATACTATGTTTATTTCCTTAATAGAATGTAGAAGCTACAATTATTGTTTACTTATTGTCTGTCCCACTAAAATGGAAACTAAATGAAGGTACTCTGTCTTACTTTGCCCTGTATTTCTAGTACCCAGCAGTTGCTGGTATTAGAGTACATACACGATGCAGAATTTTTATCTTCCCCTTCATCCAAACCTATGAGAAAAAGCAAACACCCTTCCATATGTATTCCTTAAGGATAAGAGGTAAGTCAAATAATCAAATTCTTAATGGAGATGCCACAAAGTAATTATTCTGGTGAATCTCAGAATGATGGATAGAAACATATAGCGAGCTGTCAGTAAAGGATGAGAATGTTACCTAAGTACTAAAAGGTATAAGGTCAGAGTAATTTCTGTTGGGTAGGCCTAACCAAAAAGTCCAAGGGTGGGTTCTTGCCCCACCTACACCTATTACAGTCCATGTCACAGAGTAGGTACTCAAAACATGGGTACTGCACAAATGAGTTTTTTTCCAGATACTGGAAATTTGGCAAATATCTAAAAGCTTAATACATGGCAGAAAATAAGAAAACATCCTATTCCTTCCTCACAGGATCAAAATATAATAATAGAACAAAAAGATGTTTTATAAATTTGGTCTAAATACACACTTGAGATACATTATTGTTAGAACACTTTATTTTGAAATAAAATACAAATGTGCAAAGTAAATTAGCTCCTCCTGCCCCACCTTTGAACAATGAGTCAATAGAATGTAAGACTGGGTAGAATGGCAGATAACAGGCAAAGGTCTAGCTTTTCAGTGGCAACTTGAAGAAACCAAAGATGAATGATGCTAAAGGAATGACCCTTTAGTACCTGTTTTAAAGTACTTCCGGCCACCTTCTTTTATAAACCCTCAGGAGCCCAGCACCACACCTTGTTACCCTACAATGATCACTCACGCTCCACGATGTCACTAATGTAGTAACTGAAGATGTGGGCCAGTTTGTCCATGTCACGTTCCGACTTGCAGGTCAGGCTGAACCTGTCCATTAATGCTGTAAACCCTGACCAACAAAGCAGAAATTACCATGTTAACTCCAAATTCTAACTTTTTGGCCCCTTTCTCCCCACACATCAGCCTGGTGTAAAGGAAACAGATCTCTTCAAGCTGAGTAATTCCTTTATCCATTAACATGGTGTAACTTAGAAACTACTAAGGGCCAGGTTGGTTGCCGCTGCCACTGGGAATCCAGAGGACCACCCTCTCTGCCTCCAGGAGCTGGAGATGGTGCCCTTTTCATCTGGAGCCAGCTCTTTCCCCCACCCTCTTAGGCAGCTGCCTGGCTATGGGAAACAACAGGATCCCTCCTCATGTCTGGCCAGAGAATCACTCACACGGTGAGGACAGGCACCTGGTATTACCCATCTTCATATCCCCGACACAGAATAAATATTTGTTAAATGAACAACTCTAGGAGTGGCTGCTAGATAGCTACGGCCAGAACAATGGCAAGCACATACTTAACGACGCCAAGAATGAATTAATTGAAAGAATAAAATAACTGAAACAGAACGCTTAATAGAAATTGCTCGGCGTTGGGAGACAGGGGTTCACAGCCCGCTGCGTGGTCCTGTAAAAATCCTTTCCTCTGAGTTTCAATTTCATCATCTTTGAGGTGAGCTCAAGGGCTGAGCTGGTTCATCCCAAAAGATGTCTTCCCACGCTAAAACGAAGACCCTCAAAGTTTCCTGCGGAAGCCGCGGGACGAAGTTAAACTGTGCCTTAGCTCGCGGGAGGCTAGGTCTGTAACCGTCGCGGCCTCCAGGGGCTTAGACCCAACGGCCGCTTCTCCCGCAGGCCAGGAGGCTGAAGTGCCGGCCATCGCCCTCACCCGTCACATGGACGCCTAGGAGGACTCCCTGGGCCGTGGCGAGCTCGGGTTCCGATCCCCTGGGCTTCCGAAAGACCAGTAGGTCGGGAAGCAGTGCCGCCAAGCGGGCCTCCACCGGCCACACAGGCAGCTTCGCATCCCGCCTGCCAGTCACCATAGCCGCCCGCCCAGGTACCGGAAACAGGGTCCAGCAGCGTAGCAGCCAATCCGCATGGCAGGCTCTGTTGGGGGTCCTGCCGCCGACCAATCCGCGCAGGCTTCCTTGGGGCAACGCCAATCGGAAGCGGCTGCAGTCCCCGCCCCACCACCTTCCCACAACCTTCGCGGGCCGAGCTCCGCGGGGAGAAGGGGCTGGAGGTGCTGCAGTCCGCGCTTTCAAAGGAGCAAAGCTGTCTTTTCTACAGGAAACGGGAGAGGTGTAGACGCTCCTGCGGTAAAGCCGTTGATGTGAGATAAATATCGAGAGGTCTTTCCCCCTATACCACAGAGTAGAATCTTGGGTCATCTCTGAATTTGTTAAGGACAGGTTCTACTGGCATAAATCTAAGCCAAACCTCAAGCACAGTTTGACTAATCTATCGAATACTGTCAGTTCTTTTCCTTCATTGTTGTGGTCAGTTTCTCCTCTTATCTGCCAGGGCAGGTCTCCTGCTCTCATCATGAATGCTACCCGGGGCTGTTTGTCTCTCGTGTGTGACAATGGCATATCGGAGGCTTCTAGTCTTTGTTGCTTAGATTACCAGAGACCGTAAGGTAAAACAGTAACAAGGTGAGCATGCTGTGGATTTTTAACCATCAGAAAAGTACTTTTGTTTTGGTCTTCTGCCAAAACAAAATCTAACAAAATGTAAAAAGTACATCTTCACTACCTGTAATTCTAGAATACTTAATCAAGGCTGTTTTTGTGATAAGGGCTAATTTTCGTCACATTTTGATAAACACTTTCAGTAGTAGCATCAAATGTATGATCAGCCTGCAACTGACAGAAAATATCTCCTCAACAGGGTGGAAGGGCCAAAAGGGAAGAAATTAAGGGGAGATAAAGCTAAGAGGCCCAGACATTACAAGTTAGGTACTGTTTACAGAGACACCGTCCATGCAGACATGTCTTGTTGGCAGAGGTCACAATTTCAACATTGGAAACACAACCTAGAACCCAGGAGTTGCAGATTCCCCAAAAGTCACATTACTTTTTGGTTATTTTTATAAATTTATTTTAAAAAATAACAATTGCAATGACATTAATGATCGATCACCTGTACACCCCCATACTGCTGGGGGAAAAACCTTCGATATAGTTGAGTCCCAAAGAAAAATCAAGACATTATTACCAGGCACCCTATAGCCACAAAATGCTCTGTTGGTCCAGTGGCATCGACACTGACATGTTCAATGTACCAGTGCAGTTAAAATATATACACTTTAAATTATCCTGCCAAAAAAAAAGCACTCAAGTTGCATAACTAGGCATTAAACCAATTATTCATTCATCCATTCACTCTTTCTCCATCTGTGAAGTCATCACTACAGTCACAAATAAAAATCAATAAAAGAACTAGAATCAAAGAAAAAATCCAAATGTCAATACCCTGCCCCCACTTTGTGGGCTACTATGGTGTGCTAAAGTGACCACAAGAAAAGGGTCATGAGCTATTTGAAATGCAATGACAAAATGACAACTGAAGCATTTCAAACAAAATTCAAACTCATCCCCCACAAATAAAAAATTCAGCAACAAGGCTGGCATTACTATGTACAAACTTACAGACACAAATAAATAGCATCTTCTAACTGTTGGCGGCTTAAGCACTCAGAGTTAGGTCTGAGTAATTTCTTTCTGAACTCTGCATCTTAGACTCCTAAATTAACCAAGGAATATAAATTCCTCATTGTTAGTAATCTATCCTCTGAAAAACTTGGGACTTACTGAATAACATTAATATCCCAAACTCTTGTAGAGAGCCAGAAGTTTCTAGTGAGCTTACCAAAGGATCAGCCCTTTGACATCTGGAAGCCAGGACAGATTACCAGATCCCTGGGACTAGGAAGATTTCACTTCCTGTTTCCTTTGCATAGCTCTGTACCTCTATTTCTATCATTACAATGATCTCTCTTTGTGGTGTTTTTAGAGGGCTTAATTTCTGTCTTAATACAGTTAAGCTGAAGTCAAAGAACCAATTTTTATTCTTGGTATTTGACCCCCAATGTTCCTCAGAATTATTGGGTTTTCCTTGTTTCCAGAGAAGGCAGCCAACTCTTCTGAAATATCATCTTAGTTCTCTCAGGGTTCAACATCTAAAAGAGAAATAGAATTCTGAGGCACAACCCATTCTGGGAACAGTGGCCCAGTTCCTGACCCTGCAGGCATGTTTCTTTCTAGTCTGCAGTTTATTCTCACAGTACGGATGCAATGAGAAAACCTTTCTGCACAAGGCCTATGGAGAAAACATGAAAACTGGCACCAAAGAATCAGCTGCCATGGGAAGAATGAAAATGCTCGCTTTCTAGGGCCAGCATTGTGCTGCGGGAGTGAAGCCAACATCCACCTCAAGCTTTAGTGGGTAACTTGGACTCTGTTCAGGACAGCGTGACTGATCAGTGCTTTCCAGAAATTGCCAAGGACCAAATCTCAGGCTTCTTCCTTTCAGTGCTTGTTAAAGGTTCTAGAGTGTGAATTACTCTCTTCATCTTAATGATCCATTCCAGGTATCCATCCACTGGAGAATCGTGCTCTATGATAACATATGGGTGTACATGCTCTCTCTCTCTCTCTCTCCCCCCCCAACTCTCTCCTCCTAGGATGAAACACATGAACCTTTCAGCTCCCCAAATGCTGTCACAAAGTCTATGACTGAAAATCTCTAGTTTGGCTCTCCCTTTAGGAGTACTACAAATGTTCTCAGTGCTTCAGCAAAGAAGTTGTTGAATAGTCTTGTTCTCTACTTAGGAAAGGCAGTTTCAAGGTTCAATATCCTCTACATTGTCTTAGAAGTAGCCACAGCAAGTACGATGGTCCAGATGACCAGTCAACAGAGGGACAAGCAGGCCACAACTTTTCAAAGCTAGAAAAAGAGATTCGGCAATGTATATTTTTAGTGCTTGAGGCTTTTATCATTCTATCCCCAGAGTTAGCTTTTTCTTGGCTAGAGTCCAGAAATACCAACCTACCATCTAGGCAGACAGGAATTCTTATTATTACCACAGATTAGAAGAATGTATCTCAGAAATTTATTGTTTCCATATCACAAGATAGAACTTCCTTGCTTGGAAGCCATCTCTGAATACAAAGCGTCCATTCAGTTAGTCAGTGTGAGATTCCCCCACCAGAGGGATAAATACTGTCTAGATTCCATGGGAAGGAGTGGGCTGCTGCTTTCCTGATTGCAGTTTTGGTTGAGAAGGTTGTTTTTCCCTGCTGAGATGGCTGGCTCACGTCACCAGTCAACATAAGTGCTTTGTGTACTGCTGGGGTGGCATGTGTCTCCTTGCATCATCCGAATCCATGAAATGTCAGTGTGATCAACAGTCTGAAATAGGTCCTGACTGAAAGAGTAAGACAAAGGCTTGCAACTTCAATCTGCCAGGCATTGCTGCAATTGTAATACTGAGCCACTTATGAAAAACTAAGTGGTTTCCGTCCTGTAGAAAAGGGCAGAATGTGATCGTCAGTGTCCCATTGGAAGAGTTGATCAATTTCCTGGAACAGTGAGAAACTGGTGAGAAACATGACCTTGATCAGCTCCATCATATGGCCTGGGGTTAGGACACTCGGATGATCTGTGTCATTGCTTCTTCATCGGCTTGGTTTGGATCCTAGAGACAAAGATGACACGATAATTAAAGTCCTTTGCAAAAGCAACAGGACTGATGGCTCACTACTTATCCTCAAGAGAATACGCATAACTTTACGAAGTAAATCAAAGGCTTGTAATACATCTTAAGTCTGCATACATGGCTTAAGTGCAGCCCCATTAGGAAAGAAGAGACAATAAACCTTATTCTTAAAAGAATTTGAAGTCTGGCCTGCGCTCCATGGTGAAACACTCCGGAACTGTTAGTGTATCTCTTTCCTAAGAACCTTGTGTTGTTCTCTATACTTAAGGGTTAAGAGTATTCAGGTGGCTAAGGAAAAGATTCAGAAAACCCATGTCATGCTGT